TGACTTAGGGTGCAAAAGTATAGTGGACATCAATCCTCTTTAAAATACGTCGCCACCGAGCTTTTAAGCGTCCAAATGCTATTTCTATGTCCACACGCCCAGTACTTAAATAAACATTGAATGATACTTCTTCCGGCGTTAGACGTTTACATTTGGTATACGCTTTCAGCAGCCATGGAAGCAGAGGATGTGCTGGGTCTCCCATTATCATAAAAGGTATTTCAACATCATTTAATGTAACTGTTTTCTGAAAATAATTATATAAGATATATTATATAATTATAAATTTATATTAATACTTTAAGTTTTTAATTTAAATATTCTGTATCATTTTTTCTATACTATTAATATAGTGCTGACAATAATTTTTGGATTCTACTACAATATTATTAATTTAACTCAGTAATGGAATTATCTAGGTCTAATACTTTTTGTCTGTTATTGTAAGTAAACATTCAATTATTTAATTTCAATAATAATAACATTTGTATTTCACCTGTGGTATTAAATGTTTATAGTAATGAAACAAATTTGATTCTTTGAAAACTGCTGCATCGTGGGCTGATCCAGGTGCATGGCAATTAATATTTCTGAATCTGAAACTTTAATTATTCAAAACATTCTATCTAAACACGTAAAATATATCATTATAGATTTTATATGCATATCTTATTACATGTACCTTAGTGTATGATCAACTAAGCCTTGCAATATTATTGATGGCCACCCCTTTCTATTAATATAATCTCTATATCCATCTGCAGGTGGTAACACAGGAATATGTGTTCCATCGATAGCTCCAATGAGTTGTGGAATATGTGTACGTTCCTCATATATTTGAGTAGGCATTATACATTCAAACTCATTAGGCATTTTGATCCACAATGGCTGTAGTATATCATTTATTGCTTTGACGACTTTGTGGATGCATCTCCATACTGATGTCTTGTGAATTCCAAATAAGTTACCAATTATTCGGTATTCACAGCAGCTTGCAAGATAAAATATGGTTACTGCAACTGCTTTTTGTACACAAATTGGCTCTCTACCTGCCAAGAATGGTGTTGCAGGTTGTAATCTGTTTTGTAATTTATCACATATGTAATCAAATACAATTTTTTTCATTCTAAATGTTTCGAGCCAGTCTTTGTCTAAATATTCTCTCAGTACTATTCTTTTCCAAAAGTCACAACTTCTAACTTTTATCCACATTCGTGGAGATCGTCTTAAACTTTGCATTGCAATTATTTCTTGAAGCGCAAGTAAATATGTATTTATAATTGTAAATATTACATGCCGTAATCTTTGTGCAGCTTTTCGTCGGTGATCTTGTAATCTCAAAAATAATTTCTGTATGTTATGCTGATATTGTAAAATTAATATTGCTCTCCGATCCATTTTAATAATATA